TTAAATGTTTCAAACACTTTAAAGTCTTCTCTACTTTTACTTCTTTCTTATCGATGTTTCGCTTTAAACTCTTTTTAATCTAAACCTTTTCTTGTTGTTGTTGCTGTTGTTTTTGTTTAATAGTGTTGTACTCCCTGATGATTCGAAAGACCGTTCGCCAATGTTTAAGACTTCTTCTTCTTCTTCTGCGTTATGAAAATCAACTTCTTCTTCTTCTTCTTGACCACCGATCTGGTCCATATGAGGGGGATCTTCTGTATTATGGACTACCTTTGGCGACGCAGCTGTGGTCAGAAGGGTATTACGGAGTTTGCTCTTACCAGCTCATCCGCTCTTTCCATACTTTTAATACATTTTTTTTAGTTTTTGCACTCCTTCCACTCTTTCTGCACCTCAATAAATTCGTTTTAGTTTTTCTTCTCTGCCTACGTTTGGTTTATACCTATAATTTGGTAGTGAAGTATACGTGGGCATCTCAACATCATAATCGCAACATCATTATCTGCCGCAACCGCAACATGTTTATAATCAAAATTATTTACATCATTAATCTCGTTATTATGCTCATCATCATCATCACTACCATTGTTATTGTTATGATTTTCTATCGAATCATTCGTCAATAATGACGTCAGCGGTGTAGACCTTTTATTGTCAAGTTTTTCAAGTGTCCATTTTTGAAGGTTTTGCTATAGGCTGAAATGTATCTTCCAATAAGATGACCTTAGTGTTTGATTTAATTTAATATTTCTAACCTTTGCTTTCAACACTTCTCTTGTCTTTACAATATCTTTTAATAATTTGTTACTCATTTTTTTGTTACTCTCTGCCTTTGTAACCTGTTTTGTATTCCGTTAAAAAAAAGTTTTTATCAAAACAAAAAAAGGACTAGGCTTGCGACCGACCTCATTGAGTGCTTGTTACGAGCTGATTTCCCTCTCCTCAATTTTTGAGTTGGTCTGATCTGTCTCTCAATTTGTCTTCGTTTGTCAGAGATTTAGTGAATGTGAGTTGGAAAGGGTACAAAAGTCAAATTGTCAAACCAGTCGTAAAAAATTTGCTCACGCTTTGCGCTAGTATTGGTTTTTTAAAGCTGTGTTTATAAAGAAAAACAGCTGTAAATTGAAAATAAAATACGTGTCAAGTAAAAGCGTTTACTTACAACCAGCTGAAAGAAAAACAAAAAAAGGATTTTTAGCCCGTCTTTTCGATATCAAAGCCAATGAACACCATAAAACACTTATGGAATCAATTAGAGGACTTTTATTATCAATAATGGTAACAGCTTCCAAGTCCATTGATTAATTGCATTGCTCAACATCAACACAGTTATGACCAATTTCAAGCTATGCTCAATGAAGCATTAACGAAGCTTCAAGTGACATCAACTGAAGATATGAATGCCAACCCATCGACTCACCATACACTGATTCTCAGTTGTGTGCCACTTCCGAAAATATCCATCCCCAACACACACACTTCCGAAATATCCATCTCATACGACTATAACAAATGAAGACGATTTTATGATTTGTTCTTCCATATAATTCGCCTACAGCCGATTCCAATTGTTCAGAAAATGTGGTATATCAAGGCTAATCTCGCAGGATCTCAGGACCGATCAGCCAACAGAAGACAATTAAACGTCCGCCTGGACATTTCTACAAGAAAGTAATAACAATAGAAGACTTCTTGTATCCACACTCAAATGAAAAAATCATCAACCACCCCAAAAACCAATTCAACCACAATACAAGTCAAGAATATCTATTAGCTTTAAATAACGTGGGAGTGGACACAAACATTTGAAGCTCCTTATTCCTGCAAAATTTGATCAAGAAATTAGATTTGCACATCAGATTGAACAATCGCCCCCTGCACCAAAAATAAATGGTACAACAAAATAATTGCCTAAACCTACAATTCAACAAAATGTAGGTCCTTCCACTAATAAGGACACACCTAACGTAGTTGTGACATCATAACGATAATATCAGATGATTTTATGGAGAATGGATATGTGTAGTCACGTAAAGTGTTCTCAACTCTATACAGTTATCTACGGATCCATCCGAATCGCTGACGTAAAAACAGCATCTGAAATCCTTAAACTTCCAATACATCATCTTGCAATCCTTCGCATTGACGACAAACCCGAATCTAATTCAAAAAAATCTCAATTTACTCCAAAAAGCCAGTCAAAGATAATGAATCAGAAATCGAACAAATGATCACAAATGACTAATCGAGAATTTAAGCACAAATTAGGAATTCGTTTTGAAGAGATCAGATCAACAACTATTTAGTCCGGACTGCATTCTCAAATAATCACATCCATGTTATCTTATTTTAACAACACTGTTCTCTTATTACGCAAGTCTAGAAGAACTCACAAACTGCTGATGTGTTAAATCATGAAGACCGGCAACCAACAATTCAACACGGTTCAATACATTATCATCTTTACAACAAAACATACAAACTCTTCAAGGTGCTAAAATTCGTAATGATTTCACATGAAGTCATAGCATCAATGCCGCATTAATCATCAGCCTAGCTGCTATCATCATTGTTCTCTGCACCAAGTCTTTTTTTCAAAGAGAATGCTGAACTGACCATCAAGCCATAACCATTCACACAATAATGAATCAATATCCATACCGTCTCCCTTGTGCATATTTAATCGGGGAGAATGTTTATACTTGTTTTAGTGTCCTTTGTACTGTTCGACTCATGTTTTGTGTCAAATAAGAAGATCCTTTGAAAATTTAATAAGTTATTTTAACAAATACTCTGCCAAAAACGGTGGTTAATGATCTTTTATTCTTTATATTTATTTTTGTTATTATTCTCGTGCTTCTGAGATGTGAAATCATATAACGTTCATTTGTTTATTAACAGTTACCTCAATGGAGCTATCTTTGTAATATATTTACTTTGTTATATATTTGTTTTCGATCCATAGCTTCCATACATGAAAGATGGTACATTTTAATTATAAGCGATAAACATATGCTAATAGATGCATAGGGTAGTATTATGTATGTACATGCATAAGATAGCTTTGATATATTATAATACAAATGCGCGTCAGCCCGTAACAGGCGCAAGAAGAGCAACAACGTAACTGGAAAGCGATGATAGCCACCACTATAAAAGAGCGTGTCACAACACGGTCGGCGTTTCATTTCTGCAGTCAAGGAGGTAAGCGACATCTGACAAAATGACTCTTTGTTTGCGACGTTACCGATAAGGATAATTCCTTTTTTTTTGGCTTACGGATGGGGGATGGCAGGCTCAGTATCGTCGGTATCCCTGAACAACAGAGAGATACTTGACTTACGGATAAGGATTGGCAGGCTTAGCTTAGTCGCCGTCCCTAAACAACAGATAAGACCACTCTCTCTGATGACTGTTCGAAAGGACTTGGACTAGGAACGGCGAGTGGCCGTATTGCTCCAAAAAATTGGCTGCTGTAACATCTCCCATTTATTTTGCAAAACTTTGGTACCACGAGTAGCAATCGGACCGCGAGCCTCCACGCTGGTTTACTTCGTTAATACAATAATCATAATTATTGACACATTTATCACTATTAATATTTAAATCATAACAGCCTACCGGAATTGTTTTCGTCCTAAAATACACGAAACCGTAATTATTTATCAAAATTCCGGTAAACAGTAAAAAAAATAATATATAAAAGAAAATACGAAGGTCCAAGAGTTTTTGAAAATTTCTTGGAAAAGGATTACCTGGAAAGCCTGAGAATAAGCGTATATGTTTGTTTCCATTTTTCAATAATTGAACATGTATTTGTATAATCTAATGGCGCTTTAGGGAGTATAAGTGTATTGTCTAACGCGCTTTAGAGAAAATAGCGTATATGTTCTCAGTAACTTGTAAAAATTCCAAACATGTGAGAATAAGCGCCCAGACGTTTAGAAAATCAAGCTTTTAAACGTATGAAACTTATGAATAGTAAAGCAAACGATTTAGGTAAAGCCGATAAAAAGCCTTCAAGTACTTTTTCGTTTACACGCTTGGCTTCATGCATGCTAGAACGTATAGCCGTTTGCATGCAGCAAGTTGAGCATGTATTGCTTGTGGGTGAAACAGGCGTAGGCAAAACTTCTTCCGTCCAATATTTAGCTGAGCGCACCAAACACAAGCTGATGGTGGTTAACATGAACAATCAGTCCGATGTCTCCGACTTGATAGGCCAGTGGATCTCTCCTATGTTGTATTGCCATTGCGTTCAGAATTTGAGTTTTTGTTTCGTCACACATTCAATGCAACTAAGAATGAATCATTTTTTAGTAAATTTAGTATATGTTACAATCAAGGTAACTTTCCAGTGATCGTTAAACTAATGTTAAAGATTGTCAATTCGGTGTTTGAAAAAGCTGAACGTAATGAATTGCGGTATAAAGGTTTGAAGCTGATTCTACGTTGGCTTTGCTTAAAAATCAAATTGCAAAAGCTCTGCAATCAATTAAACAAATCTATAAATATATCCTTCGCGTTCATTCCAGGTTCGCTAGTGAATTGCATTAAATTCGGTGATTGGGTGTTACTTGACGAAATTAACTTAGCTTCAGCCGAGACTTTGGAATGTGCAGTTAATTCAGACAAGAATGTTAAGTGACACCAAAGCTATACTCAAACAACAAATACTTAAGTCAAACGATAGTTGCCTTAACTTCGAAGGCTATTGGGTAGAGAAGGTCCCAAAGAATTACAAGAATGCAGTAACTACATCTTAACAGGAAGCGTACGGAATAATCTTAAGGACCTAGCACGTATTATTTCCATAGGGAAGTTTCCGGTCCTTTTACAAGGTTCAACCTCCGCAGGTAAGATGAGCTTAATTGAGTATGTAGCCAAACGTAGCGGTAATTATTGCTTGCGTATCAACAATCATGAACAGACCGACCTACAGGAATATATAGGTACTTATGCAGCTAATATGGCGGGAAAGTTAACATTCAAAGAAGGGAATGCGTCAAGGGTATTGGATTATTTTGGATGAATTGAATCTTGCTTCTACGGAAATCTTAGAAGCTCTCATTCGAGTCCTTGATGATAATCGTGAGTTATTTATGCCGGAGACTCAAACTATAGTAAAAGCTCATCCGAACTTTATGTTATTTGCTACCCAAAATCCCCCCGGTTTATATGGTGGACGTAAGGTTTTATCAAGGGCATTTAAGAATCGTTTTATTAAACTGCACTTTTTCGAAATCCCGCGTGCGGAATTAGAAGTAATTCTGGAGAAACGTTGTCTAATACCAGCTTCGTATGCTCGTAAAATGGTAGCTTGCATGGCTGATTTGCAAAAAAATCGCAAAAACTACATCGAAAAATATCTTTACATTGAGAGTTCTCTTTCGTTTGGGTAATCGTTATACATGGGCGGATAAGAAACTCTTAGAGGATCCAAAAGTACGATTGGAATCAACATTTAATAGAGGAAGGATATTTAGTATTGTCTTCGAAAGTGCGCAGCGATTTGGAATTACAGATTATCGCAGAAGCTCTTTACACCAATTTTAAAAAACGGATCGTACTTTCGAAATCATTTAATATCGATTCTGATTTGAAAGAAGAATCGGTATTAAGAGATATTATCCGAGAACTAAGAAATTACAGAGATCGTGCCGATATAGTATGGACTCGGATTATGACTCGTATGGCTGTTTTAACCGCTAAAGCATTACAATTCAATGAACCGGTATTACTTGTCGGTCCTACAGGTTTTGGTAAGACCACGGTTTGCCAGTTGCTAGCAAAAATTCACAATGTCAAATTACGCATACTTAACTGTCACATGCATACAGAAGGTGCTGACTTTTTGGGTAGGCTGAGACCACGCCGTCAAAACGATGATGATGCTAACGACACACAGCCCAGCAAACTCTTCGAATGGTCCGACGGTCCTTTAATACATGCTATGCTGGAAGGTTCCTATTTTATGGCAGATGAAATATCTTTGGCCGAAGATTCGGTGTCGGAGCGTTTAAATTGTGTTTTATAACTTGAAACAACCATATTGTTGGCAGAGATAGGAGGAATAACAACTAGCAAAAATACAGACGAGAAAATTTGCCAAGAGTTTGTGATACAAGCTCAGGATGGCTTTCAATTTCTAGCTACTGTGAATCCTTTTGGGGATTTTGGTAAAAAGGAGCTTTCGCCAAAAAATCGTTTCACTCAAATCTGGTGTCAACCATCAGATACAAAGGAAGATCTGATACAGATCGCCAACAATTACATGCAACAACACTTACTGACGACAGAAGAGAAAAACGAGGCTTTGAAAATGGCCCAATATATAGTGGAAATAGTTCTGTTTATTCGGCAAAAAGTGAAAAAGTTTAAATTCTCTATACGAGATATCTTAGCTTTGGCTAACTAAATCGTCAATAATAATCAATTAAGCTTTGGCGAGAAAGCAATTTTTGGCCTAGAAACCATATTTTTGGATGCTTTAGAAATGTTGTCATTTGAAAGCTTAAAGAAAATAGACGAGCTAAGGTCTCAAATTAAAAACGAGGCATTAAACCAAGCCGCCAAAATATTAAAAAAACACGTAACACTAGAAGGTTTACTTGAGAAGAGAGGCACCCACGTAGAATGTGTATCGCATCAAAAATTCGGGATAAAACCTTTCTTTGTACCAGTGAATACACATTCTAGCGTAACGGCAGACGAACACTTTTTATTTGATGCTCCTACTACTAAGAAAAATTTATTTCGTCTGCTTTCTGCCTTAACGCTGAAAAACCTATTTTATTGGAAGGACCACCCGGTGTGGGTAAAACGTCTATTGCAGGAGGTATTGCTCAAGCAATAGGCTTTCAAATCGTGCGCATTAATTTGTGCGAACACACCGACCTGGCCGACCTTTTTGGTACCGATTTGCCTGCAGAAGATAATATTTTATATGGAGCCAAAGATCAAGAAAGCGAAGTCGTACAAATGGGTTCCTTTGTCTGCCGCGACGAACCTTTACTAGCTGCTTTAAAATCAAAAAACACTTGGATTTTATTGGATGAATTAAACTTGGCTCCGCAATCCGTATTGGAAGGTCTAAATGCCATTTTGGACCACCGTGGCGAGGTCTACTTACCTGAACTTAATAAAACTTTCACTTTACCAGAACAAACTCGTATATTTGCTTGTCAAAATCTCCTAAAACAAGACGGAGGGCGTAAGGGATTACCACAATCATTTTTGAGTCGTTTCACTAAAGTTTATTTAAGGAAATTAACTTCAGAAGATCTATTGCATGTGATTAATCAAAGATATGAGTCTTCGTTTCTGGACTTAAAACAGCGATTTATTCGGTCAATCTCACAGGCAAACAATCTAGGAAATTGCAATCTTTTCGATGCCAATGAAGCTTTGAAAAATAATCAACCCTGCTCACAGCCAGGAAAGACATTCGTAGAGTGTTTTGATGAATTCCTGTTAACAATTTACGAGCGCATGAAATTGGTTTACTATCAACGTATGCGTTGCACGGCAGATAAGGCATTTATACGTAATGCTTTTGCCCAAGTGTTTAAGTGCGATGTTGACCATTTGAATTCTCAGTCAGAAGATGTGGCTTTGTACTGGGCATCTCAAAAAATCTATTTAAACGGTATCGTAATATCACGGGAGAGTGAAAACAAAACACAATCCTTACATTCATTGCAAGGAAAGCAGTTTTCACCTTTATTATTGACATCACAACGTGAAGTTTTAAAACATATCGTCGAATGTGTTCACATGGAGAAGCCAGTACTTGTATGTGGCCCGACAACGCTGGCAAAACAAAAGTTATCGATGTCTTGTGTACCCCAGCAAATCAAGTGTGCAACACTGATGCCATATATGATTCCATAATGTTAGAAAGGAATATACATACTCTCAGGTTGGAAAAACGTAAAGGCTGGAAACAATTTTGTCGAAATGTCAATAGCGATATGTCAGTTTTATATTTTCGAGAATTTTTAGAAGAATCGTCTCCTCTCATTGTTTTATACTCACATAAGTCTTTAACGAATTTTGTGACAAGCTTACTAGACCTTGTGTTTCAAAAATGTCCTCTGTACCTCTTGGTTACGAACGTGATAATTTTTTCTTATATCTCCCTCTGAACTCTTCTCCAAGCCTAGATGGCCTTTGTATCGGGTCATCTCAAGATGTCGAAGAAATTTCTTATAGTGTCAGGCGGCAAATCTGTCTTTCATAACAGATCAAATCTTTACTACCACAGCCTCTTATCTGATTTATTTCTTTTCTATTATTTTTATTTTTGGCAGAACCACTGCAGATGATGGTGCATCTTCCAGACCATCACTTTGAATGGTGGTGCTTTGATTTCTGCTGATTTGAGGCAATCGATAAGAACCACTTAGATTTTTTTTCGCCCTTAACAATAGCTCACTTAGTTTTAGTCTGTTGTTAACCTATTGGCGTATATATGTTCTTGTTATTTGATCTTTTAAATTTACACACACCCATATTGAAAGAATTTTTGTCTTTTAACAACTCGTCTTTACAATCGACAACCGGAATTCAGTGAGATCAGCACTACTTAGGTTGTAAGTTTCTTGACCTGCGAGGATTGTCTTGTTGAATTGATTCAGTAAGATGGAGTGAGGAAGTATTTCCTGCACAGTGGTCATATAGAGATTGCTTATTACATGTATTTAAATGGTTTGCTTTGCAGTTGGGAAGACATTCGGACTCGCTTATGTCCTTACTCATATCGTAGATTATTATCAGCTTTTATATTTTAGTTTGCTTACTAAACCTAAATCTTTCATATTCTCACTTTACACAGTGGTCAATAATTCATTAGCTTTTATTGTAATTTCGCCCATCTTTTCTAAGGACGTACGGCTTACGACTACTTGTCTATTGTTGTTTTCTAGAACAATATCTGTTTTTCCTTTTAAAATTTCCAAATCACATTGTTAATAAGCATACGATAGGTGGGATGGGATGTGCTGACATTTGCCGTTAGGGTAGCATAAAACACGTTTTTCAATGTTTCGTAGCCTTCTATGTCGATAACTGTATGAATTTCACCGTATCTGATTGTATTTTGGTGAAATCCACATCGATCACTATTATCTGCGAATTCGTGTAGTCAAGCATTTTAGCGTCATCTAAGTTGGGAGTTCTTAACGTCATGTTAAGAGAAGAAGAAGAGTTTCCCACATTATTTTTGGGAACAACATTCCTGCTTTCAGTCAATGCAGTGGTACGCCTGTCTTCATTGACTATTTCTTGCTTGTAGGTTTTGGTAGGTCTGTACCTAATCGTTCGTTTTCCCTGATGAAAATTTAATAACCTCTTTAGTAATTTTAGGTAACTTTTTTCCTCTGGTTGTGATATTTTAAATCGAGCAACTATCGCTTCTTGAGGTCTTCGACTATTTGGATCCTAACTTTTTATATTTCTGCAAATATGTTGTAAAGTTTACTCCCAAAAGAATGCTTCAAATGGCTTTTTAACTACTATCTGTTGCGCAGTTTGGCGTATCCATCGCAAGTAAGAGCTGCTTTTTAAAATCATGACAAGATAATATTGCTTCCTGAGATGTCAGCGTTATTTTTATTTTATTGAACGCTTCTAGAGCGTTGTCACCTGAATTCGCAGTTAGCTTGCCTGAAATAGCTCTGAAATTCGTCCCTCCTCTCTCAAGAGTTTAGCGTTATCCTCTATAGAGCGACGGCAGAAGCCGTACATGCCAAAAAAGACAATAGATCATTCATTGTTTTCGGGATTGGAAAGTTTTCTATTGCTCCTAATTTTTAGGGTAATCCGTATTCCTTCCGTGAATATTAAGAAGCCTAGGAATTTCATTTACGATTTTAGGAATTCATGTTTGTCGGATTGGAAGCTCTAGTTGTGGAATATCCGCAGCTGTGGATGTGACGACATTTAATTTCCCGTTAGAAGTTTCTTTCTACCTGAAGCAACCATTTTTTTGAATATTAACTATAAGGATAAGTTGCTGGTCAATTTTCATGGTGTTATCGTACCTTAATTTAATAATTTTTTAATGTGTAGTTCCACTTCATCTCTCATATTCATAGGATATGAGTAGTTTGTTGAATATATTGGATTGTTGGTGGTGGTCCTAATTCCACGTTTCACCGATATCGCTTATGTTAGAAATTCATTTGGTTCTGCGAATGGGTTGGGATATCTTCAATGGTTTTACGGAGGGAGGGGCGATTGATTTCGGATTGCTGTGCGTATATGTGGGTTGAGAGTTGTTGCCCCGATTCTTCAGTTGTAGCTACAAGAAGTACTTGTGAGAGGTCTGCGGGTTCTCGGATTTCAAATATATGTTGAAGACCTACCTCCTCTGATTGCATGAATAAATCTGTCGCTGCATATTTGAGTCACAAGATCCATGGCGTCGCTGGTGACATCCATACAGGCTAATCTATTCATTATTGGAGAGAGAGAGAAATATGTTTGCTTGTATAGAGTTGCTCCTTCGGACAAAAGTGGTTATCTGGTATTTTAAAGTTCCCAAGGTTCTTTGCATAATGCAGAGTGAGTGACGCCGTATTGCATGGTTCGAGTGCGGCGTCCGCTCCGTCTGTCATGTTATTCTGTGAAGAAGTTGTGTTAGAAACTTGTGTAGTGTAAGATGGTGTCTGCTAAGTAATGGAGGATTCCTTACGAATACAATGCTATTGTAATAATTCCTGACTGTTCGGCTTACTCTGCCAAGCGTACGCACGCTACACAATGCACTAACTAATTGAATTCTTTAAATTAAATACGGACACTGTTTGCGAATCTGCTTTGGCAGCTAAAGGTTGCTGAAGAGTTTCTTATTACGTTAACGATCCCATAACGTTTTGGTGTTAATTTGCTAGGTTCGTACAGTTTTAGAACGCGTTTGACACATCTCATTCAGGAACTGAAATATGCCTGAATCCTCTTAGACATCGAAATACCTCTGATACCTCGTCCAAATCCGTAAGGTTCCCTGAATATCTTTCGTCTACTCCGTGTGATCAATCCTCTGATTAATGAGTAGCACAGGCACCCCAACTTGTTTTAATTATTGGGGATTTTTGTAAAGATGGTATTCAGGCACTTGAACCGGTGGTTATTATATTAATTCATTAAATTCAAAACAAGCTGTAATGTACTAAAATGATACATGTTCCATAAAATATTTACAATAAATTGTTTATTTATGCTTGCACCGAACACATCGTCTTCACTCAGGCAAACCATGCAGATATGCACAAAATATATAATATTATAATGTGTAAACAAACAATTAAAAATTATTTAAACTGAATGGACAAACGACGGACCTATCGCAAAAATAAAATAAAGAATACATATACGTATGTAACCATGAACACCCTGATTTATGGCTTACATAGGCGAGTTTTGGGAGGCAATTGACTAAATTTTTCTTTGCATACTCTAACGAAAATGTCCGCCACTGCGACTTCCAGTTGTGTGTTCATTGCGCTGGGGCTATTTTATAGAATTTCGAGTGTGATATAACCGGTCTTATTAAGTTGTTTAAGTTAGTCATTTGCCAGCCTTATGGTTTCATTTATTTATTCTTTTTGCTAACTTATTATGACACGTTAATTCGATATAAGGTTGGAAATATGATAATCGATAATTAGAATGATGAAATGATATTTTGCTCTATAAAGTAATATTGTAAGCTGAAAATTAAAATTATGATGTTTATAACGGAAAAAACAAAATTATGTTTAAAATTTATGATAAGGTAAAAGTGCAATTATTTAAAGCTATTTTAGGCGGAATTGAAATTGCTTGGATGTGGAGAATTTCGACTATCGCTGCCATTGTGGGTTGTTTCGGGGATCTACGAGGTAGTAGCAATAACGATTGCCGTGTTATTGTTCTTGTTGTTTTTGTATTGTTTTAGCGATATTTCCCCTGTCCTAGTACTCTATTTCTTTCTCCTCGTTTCCTTTGTTTTAAGCATAAAACAAAAATTTTCTTCAATGTTTTTTTTTGTTTGAATATATTACTTTTTTATTGTCTTCATTTTTCACTACTTTAGTGAATTTTTAATTTTATTGCTTTAGTCAACTAGTTTCTGCTTAGTGAATTTTATTTGTTTTTGCCTAGTTAATATACTTTAGTGTTTTGTCAGCGCTTTTCAAATTTCCATTACTTAAGTGTTTTTCAGGATTTCAAATGTTCACTAATTCACACTATGTTAATTCACCTGGTGTAAACATAATTTAGTGATACAAATTTAATCTCAACTTTGAATAAGTACAGACTTAGGCTGAACTGGAATTGATTGACATCCTCGATTTCTTCCCTTTCCTTCTTCACTATCGATTTCCCTTCAATTTTTCGTTTGAAAGAGCTAGGTGCTTGCCATACAAAAAAAAAAACATTATGGTGTATCCGATAAGAATAATTAGCGCATGTGTGTAATGAATAATAAAATTCGTGATAAAATTCAAAGATAATAAGAAACATCTAAAGGCAGACCAGATATCGTTTGCATACAGTTTGGCAAGTTTGCGCGCTCGCTGCGGTCGTATTTTTTATTTTGTGTGCAGAAATTTTGTAATTCCTTTTCTATTTTATTGCTTCATGCGGTTTTAAAGAATAAACAATTATAAAAGAGCTTAAATTTGTTGACATATATTGAACTTTATGCAATTTACATTTGTCGCATGGTTCTGTCTGTTCACCTGTTTTTGGTTTTAGGGATTCGTACTTGGTCCTCTCATCAAAAAGTGTCTGTCTTACTTTTCGTGTTGTTGCTTCCAAATATCTGCCTTGGTTTGCGCCGCTTACAGTTTTTCTCTTTGTTCACTGTCTTTTTAATAGCGTGAAGTTTGGGTGCTATAAGAGATCATTTTTGAATAAGTAACAAACCTTTTGTTTTTTCTTTCTTCACACAATCTATTTTGTCTGTTGCTTTGTGAATATTTACATTATGTCGAATCAGAACAGATCCTGATTTTGAACGATTCATTACTTATTCGCTTTGCGAGCGCTATTGTCATGCAAAGTTTTTGTGTTTTACAGGCCATGCTGCAGACGCAGTCTTACATCCTTCTGTATAAGCTTTTCATGGAGACAAGGAATCAGTTTCCTGAATTAAGTAAAAACTTTGTGAAATTGTGTGGAAAGTTAAGACAATGTTCGGTGATTGTTGCCATCTGCTCAACTCCTCCTCCAACCAAAGACCAACGTGTGATGTAGCGTACGGTACTTCATCTCCGCCCCCGTCTAAATCTCATAAATATATAAAGTTTTTTTCATACTATAGAAATTTGAAATTCCTTGTGGCTTTTTCTAATAAAGAAACTAGT